GTTTAATTCCTTTATTTTACACATGTAAAAGGCATTTGCTTGGCATTTCACCTATGTGTGCTCAGCTCCCTGCTGTGCTTCCCACCATGTCAGGTTTTGGGCAGTAGATTTCTGGATTTTTTGGGTTTTTTTTTTAACAGTAGGTTCTTTCTAAAATTAATTAAAATTGATAAAATCCTAAAAGTACCGGGTCAGGTGAGTCACAGCCCCAGGAGCTGGAAAAGCTTTTAGAAAAGGTTTATTAGGAATGGGATATTGCTGATGAAATTGTTGCTTGTTTTTATTTTGATAACCACTTCATTGGATACTTCATCAGCTGTGTCACACCTGCCACCACAATAAAAAAGGGATGGGGTAGCCATTTATTTATTCATTTATTTAATTGGATAAAGATAGGGGGGAAAATCCTGCTCAGATTTTGAGGTTTTCAGTGTGGACTTGGGCCTGTGACCTCCAAAAGTCTCCTTCACCCAGCTCTGTTTGTTTTCCTGGAACAGCCACCAAGGCCTTGTGTCCACAGCAATATTATTGCACAAGAGAGCAGGAGTTATTGTCTGCAGAATTCCTCCTGCTCACACACCGTGAGCCTTCCTAAAGTGCTTAAAAAAAAATCCCTGGGAATGGCTTTGGGAAGTGCTGGGTGAGCTCTGCCCTCCTGGAATCTCCTGGAATTTCCTGGAATTTCCTGGAATTAAAGCCATGATTTGCTCACCTGCACCATGAGCTTTCCCCAGACCTGCTGCTGCCTTTATTTCCATTTTTATTTTGGGGCTGGGAGCTGTTTTTGTGTCTCCCCGAGTTTCCTCTGCTCGGTGCCGCTTCCCAAGGCGCTTTTTTGGGGCTGTCCCCTCCGTGTGACACCGGGGCTGCTGTCACCGTGCCAGTTGAGGATGGTTTTGCTGTGTGGCTGTGACATCCTTCCTTTCCTCTGGGCCTTTGTTCCTGTGTGGGGGCCTGACAAGGTTTTTTTTTTATTCAGCCCATCTGCAGAAGTCATCAGGCTGCAGATGCTTTACCAGAGGCTGCTGCAACAAATGGAGGCGAAAGATTATTGGAGATTATTTGGTGTTGAGTCAAAGCACAGGAAATCTGCCAGAAGATCTCAAAAGATGGGGGGGTTAGGACAGGCCTAACCCCCTTAATCCTGCCTTCCCAGGGCGTGCAGAGGGATCCTTTTGGAGCACAGAGGGTGAATATTTGGATTTATTGTGCCACAGGCAGCCTAGCTGCTGCCCACGGGGCCCATTGTGCCACTTCCTAAACTCCTCCGTGCCAGCCCTGCTCGCACCCTCACATTCCCAGGAAAAGCCAAGCCCGCGGGCCCTGCAGTCCCACACGGAGGAGAAATCACCGGAGAAATCCCAAATCCCGGCTTTTTTGGATAAGCTGAAGGCTTTGCAAAGCCCAGCCTGCAGCAGCAGCAGCAGGAGGCTCAGCTTTGCTGGGAGCTGTGCAGCCAAAGCCTGGCAGCTCCTGAGCTCCGAGGGTCACCCGTAGGCGTCGGAGAAGATCTCAAGACAATAATAGTTCTCTATTTTTGCTCCCTCATTACAAAGCAGAGCTGCCCTCTGCCTCTAGCAACTATTTTTTTTCTTCCTGCTCACATGGTGCAGGAGGGGAAAGGCTCTCTCCACCTCATTCCCTTTTCCAGTGAGGCCTTTTCCTTTCTCCACGGGCTCTTAGGAGGGAGAAGAACCTCCACAAAAGGATGGTTTTGCAGCTCTGTGTTTGTAATCATTGATGTGTTCATCCTGGAGGAAAAGCAGTTGGGCTCAGGAGGGTTTTTGTGCTGGTGGAGAGCTGTGAGAGGAGGAGAGTGGGGCCTTTTGAGGAAATTTAAAAAGTTGGAATGCTGTTTGCAAACTGAGAGATCATTTCACCCTCACTCATGTGGGGTAGGAGCGGGACAGGGGTTCTTGAGCCACTTCTCATCCCTGTTGGTGCCAAGGGAAAGGCTCAGGAAAGGCTTCAGCTGCTCCTGCCCCAGCTGCTGGGGAAGGAAAAACCTTTTCCCCGCGTTTGGTGGTGCTCAGACAAAGAGAAGAGCTCACCTCACCTGTGCTGGTTTTAATTTTACGTCTTGTGTGATGGCTTTTTTTAATATTCTGCTTTTTCCTGCGGAAATGAGGTTTTTTGTGTATCCTTCTGCTGAGCAACTTCGGTGCTGAAGTTAGGTGAGAGTTCCAACATTGTCTCCTGATACACCTTGCACTTTGCCAGGGAACAGCTCTCTCCTGGACTCTGAAAGGGCAAAATCCACCTGTGATCCCATTGCTTTGAGGAAGGTTATTTTCTGGCCTTCCCTTTGGATATAACCTCCAGGAAAACTCCATATTCTCCATTTCTTCGAGGTTTTGCTGCAGGGTCTCCATCATTCCCTGGAGATGAACGCAGTGAATATTTAACAAAGAGGAATATTCATTCTGTTTTACGCAGTAAAACCCATCCATGAACAATTCCAGAGTACTCCCTGCTCCTGTTTTGTGACAGCCAGGGAATCAGCGAGGCCTCTCCACCCTTTGAATGTTTCCTAGACAAGACTTTTCCAAGCTGGGGATGCTCTGTGTGTCCTCAGGGTGATGGACAGAATCGTGACACGCCTGAAGCTGCAAGTGCCAGAAACATCAGGAGGAACTTCATCAAAACTTCACTCCAGCACAGCCTGTGACTCTGGAGGATCCTTCCAGCTGGAAAACTGCAGCCTTTGAGCAGCGTGAACTCTTAACTTTGGGAAACGCTCCTCAGAAGGACTTAGCTCATCTCTGGGAAAGGTGTTTTATTTTTTTGCTGTTTGGTTTTTAATATCTAGTACTTCCCATCATTTTGGCCGCTCTGTGTGTGCTGTTTTACAGAAGTTTGGGCTGTTTTGTGCATCTCCAGCTGGATTCCAGACCCAGGCAGCAGCGCTTGGCCTGGGTCAGCTTGGAATTTACAGCAAGGTGGGACTTCCTAAAGGGAAGCAGCTTCATGAAATAACACCAGTTCAATTCTGGCGTGGAAACTGCGTGGATTTTTAAGCAGGAGGGGGGAAAAAAACACCCTCAAAAACCAAAAATCCTTTCCACTGTGAAATGCTGTTGCTAATCTGATTTCCACGTTGCATCAGTCAGCGCCGTTTGGTGCAGTGCTCCCAGAGTGCTGGAGATAAACGCAGCGTGGGAATAATCACTCAGCTTCGTTTCCCTGCTCTCTCTCAGCACATCTCACTGCTCCTGACAGCTCTGCTGGGTGGCAGAACAGAGTCCTCGTGCTCTCCACGCCACCACGTGTGGCTGCATCATCCCCGTGGATAACGAGGCGCGGGCCTGGCGTTCCAAATCTGGGATAAATGGCAACACCAGGCGGTCCTGGGAGGGTTTTAGGGTGTTTGCCTGGTCCCTAAATCCTGTATGGATCAGCTGGCACGGCACAGAGCAGTGTGGGAAGAGTCTGGAAGCACAGCCTGCAGTGTTTCTTCGAGTGCCGAGCAATTAATTTGGGCAAGCAGGGAGTTGTACAGTGTGCAGTAATTAAGAGGGAAAGCACCTCGGGCCAGCCTAACGAGGGGGTGTGGGTGTCCTTCACTTTGAGATCGTTCCATTTAATTGCAGCAATTTACCTGGCTGGATCAATGTCACATCAGCCCGTGTGCCATGAGGCAGGGATTCTGCACAAGGGCTGAAACGCCAAGGGATGAGCCCAAAAAAATGCACCTGCCTTGGGGCACCTCATTTCCCCGGGAGCCCTGTGTGAAGTGTCAGCTCTAATCCTGTCCCAGGGCTCCCTGAGCGCTCAGCCTCTCCCCTGGACTCGCTTCCCTTCCTTATATAGGGCTGGATAAGTGCTGGGCACTAATGAGATTGGAATAAAAGGCTTTGGGAGCAAAGATGAGCTGGCTGGATCTCAGAGCGAGCCCTGTGTACACAGGGACTGCCACCAACACCAGCCTGGCCTCGCTGCCTTTGGTTTGGAGCTTGGGGATAGCATCTGAATATCAAATTCAACCAGATGGAACCCCTGGACCCCCTTTATTTTGGTGGGAAGAATATCGTGGTTATGTATATCCAGACATTTTTAGCATTATTCGCTATCCCAGAGCATTTTTCCTCTGTTTTTATTTCACAGGAAAAAGTTTAAGCTGCGTTAATTAAAGTTCTGGACTAAGAGAATCTATAGGAGATGCTCAATTATTATTTCGTCTGCTTTATTTCACGCTGTATCATATCCAGAATGATGAGTGTTCTGCTTAAAAATATTTGTGGAAATACTGTTTGGTGTAGTCAGATATGGTCAAGGTAAAATGTGATTTCTCTGCCTGGTCTGTCCTTGATGGATTTATGCATCACCAACTTTAGAGCAGGAATCAACTGGCAGATATCAGTCCTAGAAAGTCCCAGCCTAAATCACTGACGTGGGTAAGGCATGGCAGGAATTAAGAGTTGAGCAAAGGCAGTGTTTGGAATAATTTTAATTTATTTTTGTGTTTACTCTCGTTAAAAAAAAAAACAACAAACCAGAGGTGATAGCTGGATTTGAAGGAGAGATTGGGGTGATTGAGAGGGCTGCTGGGGAAGAGGCAGGAATAGAAACTGAGGGAAAGTTGAGTTGTTTTTGCTCTGGCACCTTGCTGGAGCTTTGCAGTTCCTCGTTGTTCTCTCGGAGGTGGGAGCAGGTGCGGAAAGGAGGAGGTGAGGGGGTGTTTTCATCCCTACCTGGGTGTACCTGAGCTGTTTCTCACAAAGCAGCACAAGCCAGAGTGGGTGAACATGGAACAACTTGGAAACATTATTTTTTTTGGGGGTAGTGACTCACTGCAACTTACCCAAAGTGACCTGATTTAGTTAAATGAGGCTAAATATAACCCATGTGAAAAGTACTGACATGTGGGAGGAGACGCCAGAGTTGGCACTCAGCCCCTCAGTTCTGCAGGGAACATCTTTCACGACTGGTGACTAATAATTTTTTACTCTTGCTGGCTTTGGAAATAACAATCCTTGCTCCATTTTTTCCCCCCCCTCCATGTAGGGAGAGAGGAGGGAAATGCTCTGGGCTTAACCTGCCTTTGTGAATTGCAGCTCTCTGCTATGGACAGTGCCATCACCCTGTGGCAGTTCCTCCTCCAGCTGCTCCAAGAGCCCCAGAACAAGAATATCATCTGCTGGACCTCCAACGACGGGGAATTCAAGCTGCTGCAGGCAGAGGAGGTGGCCAGGCTCTGGGGGATCCGCAAGAACAAGCCCAGCATGAACTATGATAAACTCAGCCGGGCGCTGCGCTACTACTACGTGAAGGTAGGGTGGAAATCCTGCTCCAAGCCTTATCCCTCTTAGCTAAGGAGCTTTGTTTCCTCCTGCCTTCCCTCCTCCAGGGGAGGGGTGGCACTGCTGTGGCTCTGCCAGGTCCGAAGGAAGCTGGGCTGCTTTGTTTAAAGGTGTTGGTTTGGTTTTTAATTTCGTTTATGGTTGCGCTGTTTCCTCCTCGCTGGTTGTTTTGGGAGGTTCTGGTGGCTTTGTGCGAAGCGTTGGCTCGGTGTTTTTTGCTAAAACAGATTTGACTTTGGATCCTAATCCCCTTTCCAAAAATACACATCCTTGCAAGGGTTAAAACCCTCATCACTCCAGGTAAAGCACTGTGAGAGGATGATGATGGAGAGCATGAACATTGCACCACTTTCAGATCTTCCTGCAGCTTTATGTTTATTTCTTTCAAAACAAACATTTTTCACCCCAAATTATTTCTGTTTTCTCTGTGCATTCAGAATTTCCCCTTCATTTTGACCAGTTTTCAGCCCAGCAGAGTAAGAAGCTTTTGTTTCTCCAACATCTTCGAGGCTCACCTTTGTTTTTCCCTTTATCCCACGTGTGCGAGTGGAGCAGATAAAAATAACCCCCAGTTTCTGAGGAGCCTCAGCCTGGAGCAGGTGGGAGGTTGCTGGTGTCCATTACTGGGTGGCACCAAATCTGCCTCTGATCTTCTGAGATCTCAGCAGCAATCACAGAATGATAAATAATCCCAAATCCAAAGTGTGCCTGGCATTTCTCCAAGGAGCAAAACAAGTTTGGCAGATGCTGTTGTGTGGTATTGAAATAAGTGATTAGCCTGCATTCTGCTGACGAGTTCAGCTGCTTATTTTCCTTTATTATCATCTTATTAAGAATAAAGGTGGTTTGATCTGAAGTGCAAGCTCTCGATTCTGCAGTCCTGGAGAAACCCTTTAGCAAGTTCTACTATTAAATTACCCGTAGTGATCCTTGATGGGGATGCTGGGCATTTTTTTGTTTAATTGGAGATGTTAAACAGGATTTCTTGGCAGTTTTTAGGCTGTTTTTAGTGTGTTTCGTGTCAGGTTAAGCTCACCTGTTGCAGTGTTTTGTCTGCCAGCTCCAGGAGCAGAACTGGAACACGCAAGGGTGTTTTTAAAACAGAAAAAAAAGAAACATTCAGGTTTGCTTTTTTTTTTTTTTGGCTGAAAGATTACAGACTTTAATTCCTCTGCCTATTTTAGGCAGTGTTTGTAGGAAGAAAATTAATCTGCAGAAAGGTCTAAATATACTTTGCCTTCTTCCCCCCAGAATATCATTAAGAAGGTGAACGGGAAGAAGTTTGTGTACAAATTCGTGTCGTACCCAGAGATCCTGAACATGGATCCTCTCGTGGTGGGCCGGATGGAGGGGGACCCTGAAATGCCCGGCTTTGGGGAGGTGGCCAGCGCTCCCAAGGACGTGGAAAACTGTGGGAAGGAGAAATCCCAGTCCTGTGCTAAATCCTCCAGCCGGAACGACTACATCCACTCAGGCCTGTACTCCTCCTTCACCCTCAACTCCCTCAACTCCTCCAGCGTGAAGCTCTTCAGGTCCATCAAGATCGAGAACCCGGCCGAGAAGCTGACGGAGAAGAAACCTCAGGACCCCACCCCTTCTGTCATCAAGTTTGTCACCATGCCCTCCAAAAAGCCTCCTCCCTCTGCCCCCCTGGTCACCAGCGCTTCGGCGGTGGCCGTCACTTCCACGGCTTCTGCCACCCCCACCGTGTCCTCCTCGCTTCCCCTGGGCTCTGAGGAGACTCTGCAGACCCTGGAGACGCTGGTCCTGCCCAAGCTGAGCGTCCCCGAGGCTCCTCCAGCACCTTTGCCAAACTTGAGCACCAGCTTCACCCCGACCCCCCCCATGTCCTCGGTTTCTCCCGGCCTGCAGGTGCCCTCCACGCCCCCCTCGCCGCCCCTGAGCTCCAACCCCGACCTGGACATTGACACGGACATCGAATCTGTGGCTTCCCAGCAGCTGGAGCAGGCCCAGAGCCTCCAGCACCAATCCCCAGAGCCCAAAGAGCAGCAGGATTCAGCTGTGCTGGAGAAGGAATTTGCCAATCACCTCTCCAGGTCGAAAAAACCCAAAGGGTTGGAGTTGGCTCCCACCTTGGTCATCACGGGCAGCGATCCGAGTCCTCTGGGCATCCTGAGTCCTTCTCTCCCCACTGCTTCTCTTACTCCAGCACTTTTCTCTCAGGTGATCAAATTACTTTCCTGAATTATTTTTTTAATTATTATTATTTTCATTAATTTTTAAAGATTTTTTTTAAGATTTTTTTTTAAGATTTTTTTAATGATTTTTTTAATGATTTTTTAAATGATTATTTAATTATTTTTAAATTATTTTTTTAATGATTTTTTAAATGATTTTTAATTATCTTTTAATGATTTTTTTTAGGATTTTTTACGATTTTTTATGATTTTTAATGATTTTTAAATGATTTTTAAATAATTTTTAATGATTTTTTAATGATTTTCATTATTTTTAATGATTTATTACTATTTTTATGATTTATGATTTTCTATGATTTTTATGATTTATGATTTTTAATTTTTAAATGTTTTTAATGATTTTAATGATTTATGATTTTTTATGATTTTTGATGATTTTTAAATGATTTTTAATGATTTTTGAAATATTTCTAAATGATTTTTAATGGTTTTTTAATGATTTATTACCATTTCTTATGATTTATGATTTTTATGATTTTTAAATGTTTTTTTATGATTTTTAAATGATTTATTATGATTTTTTAATGATTTTTTAAGATTTTTTTATTATTTTTTAAAATTATTTTTAATATTATTTTAACTAACAATAACAATGATGACGTTATGCTCCAAAACAGCCAAACAGAAAATGAATAGCTCATTGTATTTAGAGATTTAAAACTCAGGATGTCACTCCCAGCTTGTTTACTTTAGTTTTGTTTTTTAATCAAACACCAGTTTGATTTCACAATTGCTGTTAATTCACCCCAAAGCCTGCCCAGGTGCACACAAGGAAACAAAACCCAAACCAGCTCCAGCAGGATCTTTGTAAACCTTGCCAGGGGGATACTGAATTATTCCTAAATCCTCCAGCTGAGCCTGAAATTCCTTCAAAAACAGGGATCCACCGAGGTGTCTGCACAGCTTTTTTTTTTTTACTCATTTAGTAACATTTAATTAAAGCCAAAATCTTGTGAGCCAGCAGCAATAAGAGCAGCTGCTTAATTTGGTTGTTATCTTTGTGTGGGAAAGGAAAGCTTTCATGTCTCATGGAAAAACTTGGAAGAGAGCTGAATGCAGCAGGGCTGTTAAATCATTCTGGAGCTGTAGAATCTCTTCCCCTGCAATAAATTGGAATTGAGAGTGAAACCGTGGGGGGGAGCTGCTGGTTGAAAACCCAAATGGCTGAAGATGGGTGGGGGGAAAAAGGAAAATAACAAAATCCAAGTGGAGTTGCTCTTCTGGCACCCTGGGAAGTGCTTGGCTTATTGGTGAAGCTGGAATATTCAGGAGCAGGATGGAAATTCCTTTTGTTGTTGTGGCACCAGGAGAGGGGGGTGTGCCCGCTGGTTTTTTCCTTTTTAAACCCAGATAATTTCCTTTTTAAACCCAGGTAATTTCCTTTTTAAACCCAGGTAATTTCCTTTTTAAACCCAGATAATTTCCTTTTTAAACCCAGGTAATTTCCTTTTTAAACCCAGATAATTTCCTTTTTAAAGAATCCCACTTTTCCAGAGTGCAGGTGCTGTGTTGGAGGAGGAGCTGCTCTGGCTTCCAGCAGGATTTGGGAATAAAAGGGTTGGATTCTTCAGGGATGGGGCTGGCAGGGAGGAGGAGGAAGAAGGAGGGGATGTGAGTTCCTGAAATCCCTGGCAGCTGAAGGGGGGGGTTTGTTGTGGCTGGAATTCCAGGGGGAAAGGCTCTCACAGCTGTTTTTCCTGACTTTTCAGACTCCCATCCTGCTGACTCCCAGCCCTCTGCTCTCCAGCATCCACTTCTGGAGCACCCTGAGCCCGGTGGCTCCTCTCAGCCCTGCCAGGTTGCAAGGTGCTAACACCCTCTTCCAGGTGAGTCCCACCTTTATTCCTCCAGGGATCGCTTATTCCCAAATATTTGCAGCACAAATAAAATAGGAGTTGTTGTTTCCTACCCCCTGTGGTGGCTTTTGAGGGAGTTAATTTTAGTTTTTTTTACCCGGTGTTGTAAATGTTTGGTGTTTTGAATGTTTGAAATTAGCTGCAGCACAGACTGCTTTGGAGAGAGATTAATTTTCTTTTTTAGTTCTGTAAAAATTTTCCTCCCTGTAACTTTTTTTTTACAGTTGGGATTTTCCTGAATTTTGCAATTTTCTATTGATTATTCTCTATTGAGATTATCGATCTTTTTGATTATTCCAATCATTCCCGCTGAAAAGTATTAATTAATCTCACAACTAACGAGGTGAAGAGCATGTGTTTGATCTCTGTGATGATGTGTGGCACAGTTTTTGATTATTTTTATGGAAGAAATCCATAAAATTCACCCTTGGGAGGGTGGGGAGGCCCTGGCACAGTTGCCCAGGAAAGCTGGATCCCTGGAAGTGCCCAAGGCCAGGATTTTCTTTATTATAGAATTAAAAAAATCCACTTTATTTAAGGAAAAAACCCTCCTTGGTTTGTAATTCTCATGTTTTTCCCTCACAATTCCACTCTGGCACTGGAATTACCACATTTGCTGCCCAAATTTGCTGAGGGAAGGGGTAGAATTTAACCAATTTTAACGAATTTTTTATTTAATTTCATTGAAATGAAAGAATTGAATTAAATCTTCAGGGCTGGGATCTGTCATCTCCATGGAGATGAAGGAAATTCCTCATCTGTACCATGAGGATAGGGAATAAAACAAGGAGGGCTGAAATGACACTGGAATTTTCACCCTGGAAAAATCCAGTGTCATTTTTATTTATTTAATTTTATTTAATTATTGATAATTAACTGAGGAGCAATTTAGACCCCAAAACCTGGATTAAAATCACATTTTAATGAGGATATGGGGCAGTCCTCAGCTCAGGGCTCACTGTGACACCTCTTGGCATTAAAAAAATAAATTAAAAACGAGAAACCAAGAGGATTCTTTGAAGTCTGGGTTGGTTTTGCTTTATTTTATTGCATTTGGGGGGGTCTTTTTTTCCATTTTTTGTGCACAGATATGGGAGGAACAGTGAATTAAAGTGGGTTTTTTTTTAATGATTCTTTTTTTACCCCTTAGTTTCCATCAGTGCTGAACAGTCACGGCCCATTTACGCTGTCTGGACTGGATGGACCCTCCACCCCTGGCCCTTTTTCCCCAGATCTCCAGAAGACATAGCACATGGAATTCCTGGAAAAGGACAAGCAAGGCAAAGATAGGACACTTCTCTTCAACCACCTTTTTTTTTTATTTTATTTTATTTTTTAAAAAAAAAACAAACCTGAGCAGTTTGTAATTCCACAGAGATTCCCAGCAGTCGTAGTTGTTGCCATTCCCCAATCAAAAAAAAATGAAAAATGCCTTTTTTTCTTTATTTTTTTGGGCAAAAAATTCCCCCTTTTTTTTTTTTTTTTTTTTTTTTCTTTTGGAAGAACCCAGGTTGGGAATGTATATGCAAACGCCTTAATAGGAGCTGCAGCTCCAAATTCTTCTCCTCCTCGGTTTGGAAGATTTTTTTCCCTTTATCCAAAAGGAATTTTGGGTGGTGTTGCAGCGACTGATTCTGCACTGACTGCAAACAACACCAGAGGAGGATTTTCTTTGTGACTCTTGGAAAAACAAACAAAAAAAACCCCTCTGTTCTTCTGCTTCCTGTGGCTGGGCAAGGAGAACCCTGAATCCTGATGGAAGCTGGAATTCCAGGAAATGCTTGGGAATATGGGGTGTGTGCTCTCAGCTCTGCCCCGGGGGCACCAGAACTCTGCAGCAACAAAAGCAGCAAAAAGAAAAGGGGCTTTTCTGCTGGCCTTGTCTTTTCTTCTTGTTGGGTTGTTGTTTTTTTGTTGTTGTTGTTCTTTTTTGCAGATAGAAATTTTTATTCAAGGATTTATTCCAAGTTTGTGACCAGGACATTTCTGTGGAGGGGTGGTGTGGCCTAACAGCCCCTTGGGAGAAGAGATGGGGCTGGATTTATTTTGGATGCTTCCCTGCCCTTCTTCCCTTCTCATGGACGGTTGGATGAGCTCCCTTCACTTCTCACAGAGTTTCAATGCTGGAGTCCAAACATTTCTTGTGCCAGAGACCTGTCCCAGAGCCTGGGAGCTCCCTGCTGGATGAGCAGGATGGGGGGGAATTCTCCCTGCTTTTTTGGGGGGGATTTTCCTGGGTTTTTGGGTGATTTTCCTGGGTTTTTGGGTGATTTTCCTGGGTTTTTGGGGGATTTTCCCTGCGGTTTTTGGGGGAGGTTGCTGCCTGAGCTGGAATCCCCAGTGGGGTGAGAACAGCAACATCCCAGCATTAACGTTGCTCCTCTCTCCCCACAGTTCTGGAAAAGCTTCCTGCTTTTCCCCAGGTGGAAAAGCTCCTCTTTTGCCAGCTCTTACCCCAAATTTGTCAGTGGAGCTGTTGGTTTTTGGTTTTTTGGGGGCTGACCCCAAAGCAGCCCCGGGGGTTCCACGGGATTCAGCCTCGTGGTAAATCTGCTTTCACCTCCTTGCTGTGCTGGATGAATAATGCAGGATTGTTTTCCAGAGCCACTGGAGATGAGATGGGATTTTTAGGTGGATTTTTTACACCTCAGGAGGCCTTTTAAGAAAACTGAGGGGTGAAAAAAGGAGAGATTCTCCTCTCTCAGCCCCTCACTCGGGGTTGGGTTGGGCTCTGGGTCTGTGTCCCGCCAGTTTGGGCATCTGAAGCCAGGCAGCAACTTCTGGCTTTGACTTGGGGGTGTCAGAGGATCTTCTCCTTAAAAATATTCCCAGAAAACAGATGGAGACATCTCTTTTTCCTTCAGCATCCTCACAGCTGCCACGAGCAGAGGAAGATTTTTTCCCTGTCCAGCACGAGGAGCTGACAGTGTTTGCTGTAAATACTGCACCAATTCCATGGATCCGTGGTGAACTCGAGCTTTTCCAGAGGTTTTGTTTTATTCCTTTTGCAGGCTTGGAGAATTCCCTTTTTAAAGCCACAACACCCAAGACTTTTCTTTTCCTGCAGTGATGTTCCCTTTTTCTATGAAAAACCACTTTTTTTTTTGTGTGTGTGTGTTTGTGTTCCTGATGTGACACCTGGGACAGGTGGGTGGAACAGAGTCGCTTTTTTTTGGGGCATTGTTCACCTGCCCAGGGGAAAAGTGGGAGAAGAAAAATATTCCTTTTTCAGGTGGAGAAGCAGGGAGTGAGCTCATGGAGTGACCTGTCTTCCTGTTGGCTCCCATCAGAGGCAAAAAAATGCTTCACTTTTAGACATCAGCAGATGCAGGAGGAAATTCCTGCACCAGCAGCTCTTAAAATGTGCAATATTGACCTTATTTTTTTTATTTTTTTTTATTTTTTTTTTGGTAATTTTATATTTTGAAATGCAGAAGAGGGAGCTGCAGGTGATTGTGAAGAGCAAGCATCTGGAATTATTATTTTTTACTTTTGGTTTGCATGTTTGGAGCCTGCTCTGGGAAATTTCTATAGCTATGTAATAAATAGCAGCACTTTGGTTGGTTCAGGTCAGCCAATTTTATGCCTACCAAAATCCCTGGTCTTTTTCTTTTTGAGACAGTGATGTTTGCAGGCTGGCATTGGAATTGAAAATTCATGAATGAGCACTAAAAACTTGCAATTTAATTGCTTCCCTTCCCCCCCCAACCTTGTTCCCCTGTGGAGAAAAGCCAAGTTTAGCTGTTGAAAATTTGTGCACTTAATCCTTTGTGAACTTTTATTGCTTTGGGCAGAGGGTCAGGCCCTAAAAAATGCAATTTCTCAGCTCCTGCTCCTCTCCAAAACGCTTCCCAAGATGGCTCTGCCACAGAAATCCAGGTTTTGCTTTGGGAATGCGAGTTCCTGTGGAATGCAGCCTGGATTGGGGTGGTTTCCACCCCGTGAAATCCAGCAGGCAGAGCAGGAACTTTGGCTTCTTAAGGGAAAAAAAATCCGAGTCCACATGGGATGATAAACTCAGGAAAGCTGATGGAAAAGGGAGAGGAGCTGGGAGAGGAGAAGCTTTTGCTGCCTTTTCTCCACTGCAACTTTCAGGTCACTTAAGGGAATATTTCCTTGTGTGCTGCCTCGTCAGCCACATTCACTGACAGGGAACTTCCAGCTTTTCCTGGGATCACATTCCTGCCTCCCCCGGGGGCTCATGGATCATGCTGGATCTTTAGGTCACTTCAGGAGCCCTTTCTGTGCAGCTCCTCACAATTTATTTTTAATTTAGCCTAAGCCAGGTGGGGTTAGAGTAGATTCCGTTTTATTTCCGTACCGTGGTGATTTAAATTTAAAAAAAATAAATATATATATATATATAAAAAAATAATAATAAATAAAAAAAAAATAATGCAGCATTACAGAAACTTTTTTTTTTCCCCTGAGGTTCCTCTTGCTGTTTTTGTGGAATGCTTGGCAGTTTTTATCAGCTGGTTCCTTGGGTGCCAAAGGAAGCATTTGGTGTAGAACAAAAAGGGTTTGGCAGAAGACAAAACAAGATCCAGGTTCTGGAGATGGGAATTGAATCCCTGCTGTCTGCATTTCCATGGAACCCAAGGCGCTGGCAGGATTTAGGGTTTGGTTTTGTTTATTTTCCACGGGGAGCTGCTGTCTGGGATCTGGTTTGGATCCTGGATTTTCAGCTTTCCTGGCAGGAGCTGCCCCTGGAAGCAGAAAAACAGTCCCTGCTTGTGGAGCCGTCAGCGTTCTGCTTTTCCTGGGAAAAAAGAGGAATTTTGGTGGTTTTTAGCAGCAGCTTTAGGTTTAGAGCTTTGTTTCAGACCTGTCCTCAGCAGGGGATGCAATTCCTGTGCCCTGATTTTGGCACTTCAAGCTTTGTTTTGCTATAGGTCAGGAAGGGATAAAATTCCTGGAGTTGGACAATTCCTTGTTTTCACTTGGAGCATCCCAAGGCTTCAGAATCCGTGCAATCTTTGGGATAACAAGAGAACAGAATTTCCTTGGGATAATTTCTCCCTCTGATGCATTTTCAAGCCTCAGCCACCCCACCAATAGATTATTTTGGGGTTCTGACGTTCGTTTTAAGGGCAGTGAAGCTGCTGAGGTGCAAATCTCCCTTCTCCAGCTTCCCCCAGCCCAGGGAGCTGCATCCCTGGGGGATTCCCTGGGAATTCCAGCTGGGATGGGATCCAAGGGCCCTCATCCCCTCCTGGGGCTTTTCCTCCAGCTGAGCTGCAGCTCCCATGCTTTACTCATTTATCCTGTAACTCCCTATTTTTGCTCCTGTTTGCTCTGCAGTTTCACCTCTCCCATTTTTAAGGCAGGTTTGTCTCCAGCCCATCTCAGTGTTGTATCCAGAGCCCTCTCATGGAAATCAACCTCAGCAGCAGGTCAGGGAATGTTGTTAAAATCCACAGGTATTTAAAAACTTGATTAAGTTTTGGGTGATTGTTTTCTGTGAGGAATAGAATCTGGATTTGGAAGAGTAGAAATGGGGGGAAAAAAAAAAAAGAGACTTTTTGGTCTCTGAGGTGATGGAGTGGGGTTGTTTTATCCTAAAAATCACAGTGGGGTGTTTGGAGCAGCCCCCAAATCCCTGAGGATTCACTCAGGACCTCTCCAGGACGTTTGAGGAGGCTTGAGCGGCCTAAGCTCATTTATGGTTTGATTTGGGGTTAATTAAGCAGCAATTAGCAGTGGCTGTTGGGGGTGAGGGATCCAGGCTGGAGCTGCTGAGGAATATTTTGGGATAAAATGCAGGGAGAGTTTTCTGCAGCCCTCCAGGGTGTCCCTTTGCCTTGGGGGATGCTTATTCCAAGGTTTTAGGGCTGAGAAGTTGATTTGGAATAATAAAGCTGGTGGGGAGAAAGAAAAAAGGGAAAAATTCCAGGGAAACACAACAATTGTGTTCCCTAAAGGAGATCAGGGCAGCTGGAATTCATCTGGGGGTGAATCCTGGGAATCAGCACACATCCAGCTGCACCAGCTTCCCTGGGCTTGGGCAGATTTTTGTGTCTTAAATCAATTTAAATCAATTTTTAGCCGCTCCAGCTCCCCATTCAGCCCTGGTTCCACATGCCTGGTGTTGTCCTGTTCGTTCCTGAGGTGTTTTTGGGCACGGAATTCCTCTGGGAGGGGGAGATTCCGCCTGGGAAGGCGAGAGGTGGCTCTGGACAGAGAAAAATCCTTGGAAATGGAACCAAATCTTCCTCCAGAGGCTGATTTTAGTCAGGAGGGTGAAACAGAAGAGCCACGAGGGCGGTGCTGCCCATTCCTGTGGGGATTCCCTGAGGGACTCAGAGCCAGCAGAAAAGGTTTTTTTCAAAAAAGGATTTTGGATTTGGTGTCAGTAAATCCCAAAATGAGGGATTTTATTCCTGCCTTTGTGCCAGGAATCAGGAGAATTTGTTTTTCTGTCGGATCACAGGTGTTTCTCCCTGGATATTCCAATATTTCCCTGCTGGAACAGCTAGATATCTGCTTCCTATAAATTATTTTGGAACAAAACCACCCTAAAACTGGCTAGAATTGAATTTTCATTCCCCTTCCCAAAGAAAGCAGCAGATTCTGCTCGTGGAGCTCTTCCAGGCCCTAATGAGAAGCACAGAGCTGAAAAATTGTGATTTTTTTTATTTTTTTTTATTTTTAGATTGCTCATTGTTTAAAGGTGGCTGGAACAGCTCTGCCCAGAGAGCACACGTGGATCACTCCTGGCAGGATGTGCTCCCAAAAATCCACATAAATATCCCCATCCTCCCTCTCTGAGCAGATTCTGCACTGTGCAGTCGCCACTTTGGAATATTTTGCACTCCTTTTGGAGGTTTTTTTTGGGGGCTTTTTCTTCTCTTTTAGCACTCAAATCAATCCTGTCCCTGCGTGGACCCCGTGAGTTGCCAAAGGTTATTTTTGTGATGCTGTTGGATCTGGAAAAAAAAAGTCTTAAAATGTGTTTTTTGAGTAGTTTTGTGTGCATGGAACAAAAGTTTGGGCTGGATTTTAAAAGATTTCTCTGCTGAGGTTGTGCTGCAGGAGGTTTTCATCTCAAAGCAGGGCTGGGGGAATCCTGACCCTTTGGAAAACAGGGATGTGAGTGGAGAGAGGCTGGGGTTGATTCCAGAGCCCATTTCAGCAGTGCTGTACCAATAACTGGAAGCTGTCGTCGTTTATTTTCATTTTATTTTATTTTCTTTCCTTTTGGGTTATTTTTCTGTGTTTTTTTAGAACAAGGGGAGGCTCTGAGGGTGGTCTGTGCATGGTTCCTGGAGTGTGCTGGGTTCTGATATTCCAATCCCTGGCTTTGCTCTCAGCTCCTTGGGATGAATTTTGGGATTGTTTATTTTTATTTTTTATTTTTCCCTAGCATGTCCTAACCCCCTCCAAGCTTTGAAACCGCTTCCTAGAATTGTGTTGATTTCTCTTTTTGTTTGTTTGTTGTTGTTCTGCTGTTGTTCAGTTGCACAGAGTTGTTTTTGTTTTTTTTCTATATAAAATATACTTTTGGAACGTTTCATTCTCTGTGAACAGGGTTGAGATTTATCCTTTGTAGCTTTGAGAAAAGATCCTAAAATTCCCTTTTCCAACTTGTTTTGTAGCCTGTTGCAGTGTTACCAGATGGCCTTATGTACGTCACAGTGCTTTGTGATGGGTACAGTAGCACATTTAATGCTAATTCCCCTCTGTTTTTAGAGCTGAGAAGTTGATTTGGAATAATAAATCAAAAAAAAAAAAGGAAAAAATTCCAGGGAAACACAGAGGTCGTGTCCCCTAAAGGAGATCAGGGCAGCTGGAATTCATCTGGGGGTGAAT